TTTCTGACTTTTGTTTCCTGGCTCCAATCGGTCCCTCAGTCAATAAGCATTTATTAATCTTACTATGTGCCAAGCACTGTGCTCAGCATTATGGATACAAAGATGAAACAAACAAACAACAATCCTTGACCTCAAGGAGCTCACATTCAAATAGGAGAGACAACATGTAAATAACTAGGTATTTGAAGACACACACACACAAACACATACAAATATACATGTGTGTATATGCGTGTGTGTATAATATATATGATATACACATAAATAAATACACACACATATATGTATATACATAAGATGTGTTCAGTTGTTTTTCAGTCGTGTCTGACTTTTTATGATCCCATTTGGGATTTTCTTGGTAGAGATACCAGAGTGGTTTGCCATTTCCTTCTCTAGCTCATTTTACAGATGAGAAAACTGAGGCAAACAGGGATAAGTGACTTGCCTGGGTCACATAGCTAGGAAGTATCTGAAACCTGATTTAAACTCACACTGGTACTTTTTCCACTGTGCCCACAAGCTGCCCATATGCATGAGATATATAGATCTATGTATATCTTCAAATATCTATTATATATGCATCTATATGTCTTATAGATATATCGTAAAGATATATATTATATATTTCTTTATATGCATATGTGAATATTGTGGATACATATTGCATATATGTATGTTATATCTATCTATATCTATCTATCTATCTATCTATGTCTATCTGTCTATCTATAGTAGGTTGAAAATAATCTAAAAGGACTAAGGGCTGCCTACAGAAAGTGAGCTTTAAGGTGATTCTTGAAGGAGGTCAAGGAAACTAAAGGGCGGTGAAGAGGTAAAGCCCTCTAGGCAGGAGAGACAGCCAGTGCAAAGGTGGGAGTTGGAGTGGCTTGTTTGAGGAACTTCAAACATAGGCCAGCGTAGCTAGATTGGAGCATGTGGAGTATGTAAAGTATAAGAAGACTGGAAAGGTAGGAAAGGGCCAAGTTGTCCAGAGTCTTTTTCACTATATAACATTTCCTTATAGAGCTTCTGTTTTCCTGTGTGCTGTGTAAATGATGTTTTGTACATGGGAGTCATGTCATAGCTGTTTTTTAATCAATGGCCTAATTAATGTCCAACATTAGCTTAAGTGGTTGATAATAATCAGCATGTATATCAAAAACAACAAAATCCTCTCCCCCCAACATCTCCTTTGATGTTTGAATAATTTAGTTTGCTACACCCACCAGGAAACTTAAAATCACCAAAGCTGTATTGAGAATAAGAAGAGGATCAAAGTGACAGGATTGCCACCCAGGATGGATGGGCTGATGATGGCAGACAAAGAAGAGAAAAGAGAACTATTCAACTCTTATTTTGATTCTGTTTCCTCTGACAAGGAGAATAATCTTTGGCCTTGAAGAGACTGAACAAAAAATGGCTAACAGGGGATTGAAAATCAAGATAAGTCAGGAGATAGTAAGAGAACATCAACCTGCCCTTGATGCATTCAGGTCTTCAGGACGAGACAAATTAGATCCCAGGGCACTGAAAGACTGTGATGTGATGGCTGAGCCACTGAGCATCTATGATCTTTGCAAGACCATGGAGAGTGAGAGAAGTCTTTTAGGCCTGGTGAAGGGCAAATGGCCCACTTTTCCATCAAAGGGAGCCTCTGCAGATGATAGGCCAGTGAATTTGACTTAGTGAAAATTCTAGCATGTGTTACAAAAGGAATGATTGGTGAACATCTTGAAAATAAGTGGTTAAATCTTTGTCCTGGAGAACTGATACCAAAACACATGTCCCTCTTCTCTGAGAAGTGGTGGAATTTGAGTGCAGAATGTTGCGTACATTTTCAAATGCTTTCATTGCATCAGTCGAACTTCTTAAGATTTTCTTTGTTATGAGGGAGGATCCCTTGGGGGGAGGATGTATTAGGACTGTTCATAGCACAGAGAAAAATGAGCCATCAATAAAACTTTTAGAGAAGAATAAGAAGCAGTGATCACAAAGAGCCAGCCAGTATGTTTTGTCAAGACAGGATATTACAGCCTACCCTCATTTCCTTTTCTGAAAGAGTTACCACACAAAATAGGGGAGGAGTATACAATACGTTCCCTAGATTTTGACAAAGCATGTTTTAAAGTCTTTCATTATATTCTTGGGAACAAGATGGAGAGATGGAGGCTATACAACATCATACTTAGATGGCTTTTGAATTAGTTGAGTGACTGGACCCTATAGAACAATGTCAACATGCAGAAGGGTCTCTAGTGGAGTGCCTTAGGTGTCTGCTCTGTGTTGTTTAATATTTGTATAAGCTACTTGGATAAAGGCACAGATGGCCTGTTCACCAAATCTGCTATTTTCAAAGCGCTAACAGGTGAAAAGAGAAGGGAACAAGCATCTATTAGCACTTACTTTATTATAGGCACTGTGCTAAGTGCTTTACAAATATTATCTCATTTGATTCTCACAACAACCCTGAGAGGCAGGTGCTATTATTATCCCCATTTTATAGCTGAAGAAACTGAGGCAGACAGAGGTTAAGTGACATGTTCAGCATCACACAGCTAGTAAATGTCTAAGGTAGGATTTGAACTCAGATCTTCCTTGCTCCAGGTCCAGCACTCTATCCACTGTATCGCCTAGATGTATATCATATGACAGAGTCAGGATTCAAAAGATATACATATATTTTTGTTGTTGTTGCTATATTTTGCTTTTATACATATAAATTGCATAAATGCACATAAATACACACATATATTAATAGATATCTTGGTATATGCTTGTATAAATATGCATATATGTATATATCTATACCCATATTGACATAGATATAGATAGACACAGGCTAGAATGTTGGGTTAGATAATATAAGATAACATTTAATGAGGATACACTTGGTTTAAAAAAATCTAATTCACAAGTTTAAAATGGGAGAAGGGATGGCTAGACAGCAGTTCCTTTGAAAAGATCTGGGGATTTTAACAAACTACACTTTCAAGATGAATCAATAATGTGATGTGACAATCATAAAAGCTAATATGACCTTAGGCTATGTTAGGAGATATTTAATGTCTAAGACAAGGGAGGCAATGGTATTGCTATATTCTACTTGGGTTAGAACTTTTTTATATGTTCAATTCTAAGGACTACATCCATTTTAGGGAAGGCATTGATAAATCTGAGAGTGTTCAGAGAAGGACAATCCAGACAGTGAAAAGTCTCAAGGTCATGCCATATGGGAACCCATTGAAAGAATAGGAGAGAGAAGACTTAGAGGGGATATGATAGTTGTCTTCAAGTACTGACAGGGCTGTCACATGGAAGAGGGATCAGAATTTTTCTCTTTGGCCACTAAGAATAGGACTAGGAACACAGGCAGAAGGTAAAGAGAGAAGATGTAGAGTTTTTCAGTCAGCAAGCATTTTGCAAGTAACAATACCAACAGCAGCAACAACAAAAACAAGAACTATTTCCAGACAAAGCTAGCATTAGGAGGTACTGGGATCCCATGTTCTGGAGATTTTCCAGAAAAAGTCTAGGTTAATACTTGTCAGGAACACTGTATAGAGTACTCTTACTTTCCTTCCAAGGCTGTCTTTCGTTTAGACTATCTCTTATGTAGAATTATTTCCATGTTATTTCTACCACTAGAATATGAGTTCCTTCAAGTACAGGGTATTTTTGTCTTTCTCATATCCTTATTCCTACCCTATTTCCACTTAGCACAGTGATTGGCACATAGAAAACATTTAATAAATGCTTATCGACTGACTACAGGGTATGCTTTCAACTATAAGATTCTGTGGTTCCATGGTTCAGTGACTTTTTGTGAAAATCAAAGGACTATTGCATGCCGGAGAAGATAATCAGCCTTAGAGATAGAAAGATTTGGGGTTCAAATTCCATCACCTTTGACTTGTATTGGCTGTGTGACTCTGGACAAGTCACTTAATTTCTCGATGTCCCAGGCAACTTTCAAAGACTATAAATTGAAAAGCAGGTGCTGATATGCACAGGTAGTGGGAGCTTTCTCTTGGGGAATTCCCTTTGCCAGTGAAATCAAAGGTCCAGTTCCTCTAAAATAGAGGTTTTGAATCTGGGATCCATTGACCATCCATGGAATCTGTGGATAGATTTTAGGGGATCCATGAATTTGTTTTTTTAATATTTTGATAACTATATTTAAACATAGTGTTTCCTTTGCAATTTTATGTATTTTTATCTTATATATTTAAAAACATTATTCTGAGAAGGGGTCCTTAGGTTTCACCAGACACCCTAAAGAGTCTATCATGACGCAAAAAAGGCTAAGAACCTTTGCTCTTAAATTTTCTACCTCCTCTGGATATTTTGGTGTCTATTAGAAGGGAACAATTAGATAGTTTCTTAGACTCGACCCCATTCACAGTAATAATATTTACTCTCAGAGGAAGAAGCGTTACAGAGGAAGAAATCCTTAATCTAGAGACTAATTATAATGGATATTCTATTACATCTCAGCTGGTTTCTGAATTAATCAATCAGAAAGAAAACTAGGAAAACTTCCATTTTCATAAGGAGAGTGGATCATTTGCTTCAGTTGGGCATTATTAAAAAGAAAAAAAAGTTAGTTGACATTTAGTTTGAAGACAACACTGCTGACAAAGCCTCAGTTGGGAGGTATGCTGAGGTGTGTGTGTGTGTGTGTGTGTGTATGTATGTGTGATCATGGGTTTGCATTGAGCCACTGATCAGCACTTAATGTAGGTACTTGTTACCAGGTCACTGAGATTTCTCCCAGCTCCCACTTTACCCTATCTCAGCTGCCAAAGGCTGGAAACAGTCCCATGAAGAGTATCCTTCCTACTTATTATCATTGTATATTGTTCCTTTACTGGCAGGCCAGGGTCTAGTCTCCAGGGCCCACCTACGTGGTACCTTTTGTTTAACTCACTGAAGGTCTGACGTGCCTGAGCTGTCCTTCAAGCTGCTAACTCATGTCTGTTTCCCTTTCTTCCTTGTCTTAGGTACCATATCAGTGAACAGCAGGCGTACCCCATTCACAGCCAGTGGAGAGAGTGAGATCTTGGACTTGGAGGGGGATATGTACCTGGGTGGACTGCCAGAGAACCGCGCGGGGCTCATCCTCCCTACAGAGCTCTGGACCGCCATGCTGAATTATGGCTACGTTGGCTGCATTCGAGACCTGTTCATCGATGGACGGAGCAAGAACATCCGGCAGCTGGCAGAGGTGCAGAATGCTGCGGGGGTCAAGTCTTCCTGCTCCAGGCTTAGCACAAAGCAGTGTGACAGCTACCCCTGCAAAAACAATGCTGTTTGCAAAGATGGCTGGAACCGCTTCATCTGTGACTGCACTGGCACCGGCTACTGGGGGAGAACATGTGAGAGGGGTAAGTCTCCCCTCCGCAAATGGTTCCTGTCTTCCAGTAGTTTACAATCTAGTTCTAAATGGAGAGGCAAGAAATACATGAAACCATGAGAGGACAAATCAAGCACTAAGTTTTGTGTCACAGATTACAAATTCTATGTACAAATGTAGGAAGTAGAGTAGAATTGGAGGGAAAAAAAATAAAGGGTTTCATCCTCCAAAGTCATTGATGAGTAGGCCTGATTAAGTACTAGAGAGTTGGTAGTGGGTTGCAATCCTTTACCAAACTATGGGCTTTAAACTGGATCATCTGAGTCCATTACATTGTAAACTCCTTGAGAACAGAAACTGTTGTTTGCCTCTTATTAATTGATTTTCTTTGAATGAAATACAAATTTCCCATATGTCATTTGGTAATACTTGTACTATGAGAGCTGGGAAATCTTATCAGTCTATAGGATAAGAAGTATGGAAGAAAGATATAGAGATAATGTACTATATCTTATAGAATTTAAATATTTGATTTAATTAAAATAATAAAAAAAGGATTGATTAATGGGGGAAATGACCTGGAGTTCAAGTAGATGTGTTGGGACTGGCTAATCTGCCAAGTTATAGCATTTCTTCAGATTGCCCTATGATGTGATCTACTTCTGGTAGAGTAGTGACTCAGTTGGGAGTATAGGAATGTTATTTGTCTTTGGAGATGCACCAAACAGTTTTGGTACCAGTTAGATTGCTCCACCTCCTTCAAAGACAATGAAAGAGCTGAAGGTCACTGCAGCCTTCTTTCGTCTTTGTCTCTGGATCCTGCATCAAGTAGCATAGCCTGCACCAGCAAGGTGTCTTCAAGATCACTTTCTTCAAGGGCAAACCAATGGGAGTCAGTCCAAGATTTGCCAAATACAGTGTAAAGTCACTGCACATTTTTACATTGTCACTTCTGACTAGTCATTAAAAAGGAGCCTGATTGGGGATATATGAGAGACAATTATTGCCGCTACAGTGCAGCCAAGATGTATCCATTCTGGGCCAAATAACAAGGAGCTTAGCAAATATAAGACATTTTGATCTATATGCTGCAAATCCCAGGTGATTGCATCAATTGCTTTTTGCCCCCTGCATTATGTTTAATATTATGCTCAGAACAAACTGATAGAGTACAAAAATAAAGGCGCCCAGCTTAATAAACAAAGGAAATGGAAATTCCCATTGGTAACATTTTCTTCATTGAACTCAGTTTTGTGGGGGTTATATGACATGGGGATAAAGCCATTTTTCTTTGGGTTGCATCACTTGCCACTTGTGTGCTTTTCTTGTTCCACCTTCCTATTTATGGACCCTGATGCCAGTAATTCTCCCTATCTTGTTGGGTTGGAAGGGTAAGAAACTTGTAAGCCATTTTGGAATAGAGGGTATTGCCCCTCCAGAGAATGTGATAGTCTGTTCTCTTTGTGACTAGATTTTGGTTGATTCTTCTTATTTCTTGAGGGAGAGAAATGAGAGACTGGGGTATGGCCTGCTGTACCTTAGAGTACCTAAGAGGAAGTCAGAATCTATGTGGAAGCATTAGGGCATTCCCGTAGACTTTTTGCTATCAATAAATAGGTATACCATTCATGCTGCACCTCTTGCCTCTTACCTCTGCTTTAGAAACTGAGAGGAGCTGGAGTATGGTCATGGACATACCAATATTTCCATGGGTTGCTATGTCCAGGTGATCCTGGGTATGGAGAGCATACTACACTGAGTCCACACAATTGTCTGTAGTGACCTCTTGAGCAGTACCAGTCATTTGAACTTGACTAGCCTACTGTAATTCTTAAGGATGTGTGTTCCATGAAGTTGCTCTCATAATCAAGGATGCCTATGCTCTACAAATAGTTGACTAGTCATTAATTTGACCTTGCATGTCCTATTATTCAATAGCAGACTTTGTCTCATCACTTTGATTTGACCAGGTTTGTAGGTTATACTGTATACTTAGGATGATGTAGAGTCACTGCATAAAAAAATACGATGTCATCATCTATTTCAGTGGTCCAGCAATAGCTATTTGATTGGTGGTCTTTTGATCCTTACTCAATGACATAAAAAACTGTAGGCATTTTTACTGCCAGTTTAATTTGGTTGAAATTGTGATCTATAGATATCAGGCCAGTGGACACTATGTGGAAGCAATTCTGGGTTTTGTCTTCCCACAGAAGCATTGTGGCTCCTGTATGTCTGTTCTGCAGATGTCTTCCAAGGAGCTGTAATCAGCTCCAAGAGGCCCTGGGGCCATGAGTAAAACACTCTCTTCAGTGCTTATGTACCTAACATCTGTGGCAAATTAGCTCGATTGAGTTCTAGAATCATAGAATATTTGTGCTAAAGTGAATGAATAAATGGGAAACCCTTTATTAAGTTCTTATTATGTACAAATCACTATGTAAAGCACTAGAGATACAAATGGAAAATCAATATAGTCCCTGTTCTCAAGGACCTTATATTCTAATGGGGTAAACAACACATGTGAGTTTACAGGTCTAAACTTAAAGCAAATTTAAGCTCTGAGAGGTGAAATGATTTACCTGAAGCTAGAGAGCTATGGGGGCAGGTAGGTGGTAGGTTCAGTGGATAGAGTGCAGGGCCTGGGGTCAGGAAGACTGATCTTCATGAGTTCAAATCTAGCCTCAGACACTTACTAGCTGTGTGAGTCTGGGTAAGTCATTTAGCCCTTTTTGCCTCAGTTTCATCATCTGTAAAATGAGCTGAAGAAGGAAATAGAAAACTACTCCAGTATCTTTGCCAAGAAAACCCCATATGAGGTCACAAAGAGTCAGACACAACTGAAAACAACTAAACAGATAGCTGTTACATACTCAGAATCAGAACTTGAGCCCGGGTGGTTTTTGCATTTCATTGATCTAGGTTTGATTTTGTGTTGAATTAAGAGAGGCATAGTTTTTAGGAATGAGATGATAATTCCTCTCTACTTTTCCCTAGCTAGACCCTAGCTAGGGTGTTATGTTCAGTTTTGAGTGCAATAGTTTAAGAAGGACATTGATAAACTGGTTAGAATCCAGAGAGGGGCAAGCTGGATAGTGAAGGGCTGCCTATAATAATCCATGTCACATGAAAGCCGGTTAAAAGAACTAGGGATGTTGACCTGGATAAGACAAGATTTACCACTGAATGGAGGGCAAGTGGAAGAATGATGGCTTTTTTTCCGATTATTTGAAGGACAGCCATGCTGAAGAGAGATTAGACTTACTCTGTTCGGACCCAGAGGGATAAGTTGCACAAAGGCAAATGTAGGCTTGTAAGCCTATAAAAAGCCTATATTTTCCCAGGAAGGAAAAAAAAAATTCTTACCAAGAAGAGCTGCTTGAAAGTGGAATGGGCTACCTTGAAAGGTGATGAGTTCCCCTCCTTGAGGGTCTTGAGGTAGAGACAAGATGAGAAATTTCTAGGACATATTATAGCTGGGATTAATTTTGGGCATGGGTTGACCTAGATGACTGCTGAGATCCCTTCCTTCCAACTTTAAAATTTGGGATTCTGTATAATATTCTTGTAGGTTAGATAGATTTGTTCTATTTCACAGCTATAGCTGCTATCTCTATCCCTGGTCACCTGTTTTATACATTCATAGTTATCCTATGGAAGTATCAAGAGTGCCTTCAAGGTTGTCCAGCCCCTGGTTGTCTAGGATTATAATGGGGACATTTGGAAGAAGAAATAGATTTCGGAAGAATGATTATGAACTCCATTTTGGACATATTGAGTTTGAGAAACTAATGGAATATCTAGGTGGATATATCCAATAGGTAGCTAAATATGCAAGATGGAGATTTGGATGAGGGATTAGGTCTATACAAACAGGTAGGTAGGTAAGTAGGTAAACAGACAGACAAAAGGACAGATTTGAGAGTCATCTGTATAGAGATGATAACTGAATTTCTGGGGACATATGAGTTCACCAAGGGAAGGAAACATGAAGAAAGAAGATACAAGGACCTTAGGGGGTACAACCTTATTTAGGATGTAGGGGAGGGATGATGATCCCATAAAAGAGACTGAGAAGAAGCAGTAAGACAGGTAGGCAGAGAACTAGGTAAAATGAGTACCATAGAAGCTAAGGAAATAGAGAGTAGTGTTTAGGAGGTGGGGGTGATCAAAAACTAAAGAGAAATCAGTGAGAAGGACATTGAATTGAGCAGTTAAGAAGGAACTGATAACTTTTGAGAGAACAGTTTCATTAGAGTGTGAAAGGTTAAAAACCTGGATTTCAAGGGATTAAGAAGTGAGTGGTGGTCAAGATAAAGTAGAAACAATAAATATAAGCACCTCATAGGAATTTGGCAGTGAAAGGGTGGAGAGATATAGGACAATGGCTTGAGAAAGCAGTGAGATTGAATGCAACCTTTGTTAAGGCTGCAAGAATCTTGGAGCCAGTAGAGAGGGAAAAATTGAGTGAGTGTGTGTGTGTATGTGTATATGTGTGTGTGTGTGTGTGTGTGTCTGTGTGTGTGTGAGAGAGAGAGAGAGAGAGAGAGAGAAAGAGAGAGAGAGAGAGAAAGCGAGAGAGAGACAGAGAGACAGAGACAGAGAGAGACAGAGAGACAGAGAGAGAGGAGAGGGAGAGAAGAAAATTAATAAACCTTTTTATAGGGTGCCTCCTATTTACCAGGCAACTAAGTAGCACAGTGAATTGAGAACTGAGTCTGGAGTCAGGAAGACCCGAGTTCAAATATGCCTAGCTGTGTGATCCTGGGAAATTCACTTAACCTCTCTCTGCTTTGTAAAATGAGGATAATAGTAATACCTACCTCACAGGGTTGTTGTTAGTATCAAATGAAATAATAATTGTAAAACCCCTAGCACAGTGCCTGGCATGCAATAAGACACTTACAACCCAGATACCAAGACAAAAATGAAACAGTTTTGTCCTGATCAACTGTGCAGATTCCTGGAGGAAATGGGAGGTAAGAGAACCAAGGGCACAAGCAGGGCATTTGCCTTAGCAAGAAAGACTAT